AATGTTGCTGAATTATGTTAAATTATATTTATGTCCTTTCCGTTTTATAGATGAAAAATAAAGTTAATATTTTTGGTAGTTTTTCTGATCTAGGCTTATGTTTGGTTTTATTTTCTTATTTGCGTAGCATTACTAGTGCTGATTAGTAATTAATTAAACTTATTTCGGTATAGATAACTGAACTTATGTTTAATTGTACGAATTAGTTAGTAATTAATTAATAACTATGATATAATGTTTAAATATAGATTGGTCAGTACCTAAAAAGTTTAATTGGAGACTAATTATACTATGACCAGATAAATCAGTTGCATAGTGTTTCATTCACCTAAGTAATTGTGATCTTAATTTAAGCTGATCAGCTATTAACTAGTTTACTTGGTTATTTCTTAGTGTTGGATTGGATTAATTATAATTAATTTGACTTTGTTTAGGATTTACCTATTATAACTTAATATTGATTGAATTAATTAGGAATTAATTAATAAATTTGCCTAATTAGACATGCCACTTTCCCTTATATGCCTTCTCCCTCTTTCTATATTTCTATTGCTTTCCCTCCCCACAATCTAATCCTTAATCCTTATTGGTTGTTTGGTTGCTTAGCCTTAGTAAGATTTAAGGGAGATTTTGCTTAATCTTGTTAGGGTTCTTGAGTAGGTCAGGCAGGCCCATAAGCCCTTGATAGCTTTAATAGACTACTTGTAATTAGTATAAGCTCAAATGGACTAAACACGGTTCAGGGCCAACTCATTAATCCATTTATCATTTTAATGCCCCATAATTTTCTTAATTAATTGTTGCTGAGTGATTTGAAATTAAAATACCATTAATATTAGCATAAGCTTTTATAGCTATAATAAATTCTTAGCAATATATCACGTATGCTTTTTATTATATTATGTATCAAACTTGTATGTATTACATATATGTATTATTGATTTTGAGCTAACATGGATCAAATGTCTTCAAGCTATTATAAACTTGCAAATAACTCAAAATGATTTTCAAGCCAGCACGATCATGTGAAACTCGGCTCAATAGGTTTGAATTATTATAATTCACTTAAAAATCAACTGAATTTCGCATTATATTATAATTTTTTCTAAATGTGTGTTGATGGGTGGCCTATCAAAGCCTATTATAAATCTGTAGTTGCCCAATTTTGTAATGTGCTTGGAAAGGTCTATTTAAATGGACTTCAATGCGCTTGAGTAATCCATTTGACGCCCCTAAAGTTTGTAAAAAAAAAACTTGGGTCTGTTTGGAATTTGGATTTTTCAAAGACATGATTTGGCTGGATTTAAGAATTTAATTTTTAAAATCCTAAGTTTAATGAATCTAACTAGCCCAATAATGTAAGGCTCTTGAGGATATAAGGATTTAGCTTTTTGTTGTGGCTTATCATTTTATAATTATGCTACCTTGTAGCTCCAATGGGTTCTTTATTATGATAATTAATAAAAGAACATAATTAAGGCTTAAAGAATTTAAATGAACATTTTTACATCTAAATAAATATGATCAATTGCTTAGGTTAAGTGGTTTATTTATTAGGGAAATAACATTTAATTAATTTAATCTATGACGTATTCCATTAGCAGTCTCACTTAAACACTAATTTACCTAATTAAGCCATCATTTAAGATCTAATTAGTATAAGTTAATATATAATAATTAGTCAATTATTAAAATAAAGGGTAATTATTATTTTAGTTAATCAGCTTATTTAAGTTCATTTAATTTCTAATTAGAATAATTATTTTCTGATTGGCATTAATTATACCTTATTAAGTTTGAAATTATCATCTTAATTATTCATTAATCATAAAAAACAAGTCTAATTAAAACTCATATTTAATTAATGGCGATTGAGAATTTGATTCTTAACAAAATACAATGGAGTAAAATGATTCATATAGCCAACCCCACGTAGTGGGATAAAGGCTTGATGTTGTTGTTGTTGTTGTGGTGTTGTTGTAAGCATTTTAGTTATTAAATAATTAATAATTACTTAGGTAATTCAAATATTAATTTATTAATCATTCGTTTATATATAGCCTGTTATCTAATCATTAATGTTCTACTAAACTAATCAATGTTTTAAATAATTAGTTTAAATAGTTTAAATTTGCTGAATATTCGGTTAGACTTGTATTTAGATTGTACTCAGATGAAATACCATTACCTGACTTGAGTCTTGATTTGATTGGGATTACTTTTTGTTTAAGCTTGGGTTGCTGTTTGGATGACTCCATGTAGTATAGAATAAATGGCTTAATGTACGACACCATTGTGTAATTATGAGTTCTTAAAATTAACATTTTAGTTTTCTTGCTGATTTTTTATACTAACTTTGTATAATTATGATTACTTGTATGTCTGGATCATTGTTGAGAACATTGTAAGTCATTTCTCTGCATTGCATCTCAATAATGTGATTGTTTTAATTGCATATTTTCTTCTTTCGTTTTGGATCTCTAATGAAGGGTTTTTTTTCTTTTATTAAATAGGTGCTAATGTTGCATCCATGTTTACCTTGATGAAATTTTCAAATTGTCACTAAAGCTTTTCTTTTTTACTTATTACAAGCATATCATGATGAAATTTTCAAATTGTCACTAAAGCTTTTCTTTTTTACTTATTACAAGCATATCATGGTGAAGCATTTTTTTCCAAGGATATGGCGGATGAGTAATGTCTAGAGTGTTTTAAGCGTGTGGTATATCAACTCTGAGTTCCGCAAGTGTTGTTCATACATTTATTGATGGCACTGGTATTTTTTGTCAAGTTGTTTTTTTCATGCAATTCAAAATTTTGAACTCATGGATTTCAGCTTCACTGAATGTTTGCGTGTACTTTTCAATGAAATATGTTATCAGCATCTCTCATCTTTTTTGAAGCTTTAGATATACAGACTTGAATGTATTTTGTTCTGGTGCATATGCTTATGCAAAGTCTCACATCTTTATAGAAGATCAAATGGAGAATTTATAATATTGGCTACAAATCCTTAGAATAAGGTCGAAAGCACCAATCACAATTCTTTGATTTGCTTTTCTTATTAATGTAAGTTGATTAAGATTTGGTCATTAGTGTTTGTTCTTGGCATTGTAATGTTCTAACTACGAAGTTGTGGCAATATTTGTTTTTGGAGAAATTACTAATTACAAATTATGTTCTTAACTCCCATGTGCAGACAAGGAATTAGATGCAAGTACATAATTGTGTAATCTGTGTATTCCAATAAGTGAAGTACATAGACTACATGATGTGCATTACGACGAAAAGTTGGCTGCGCAACTGTTTACTCAATCAAGTGGCGTACACAATTGAGTATATAGTTGTGTATTAACACTTCGTTGGCTATCCATATGTAGAGTTGCATAGAGTGTCCACAACAAATGATTTCTCTTGCTTTGAACTTCAGTTTGATTGATTCTTTGTATTTTTTTTCTTTTCAATGATTGTCATAGACGAACCCTTAGTGGTGTCATTGTTTTGATGAATTATTTTATGCGGACACCGGATGGGGAGCATCGTTCGGTTTATCTCTATGAATAGTAAAAATGCAGTGAAATTGTGTTTTTATTGTTCATGCTGCGCTTTTACTGTTCATAGAGACAAAACCGGACGGTTCTTCCCATCTGGTGTTTGCACAAAATAATCTCTCCAAGGTGGTGTCATTGTTTTAAGCTTCTGCTTCACTTCAGATGATTATAATTCATTTTACTCTTCTTTGGAAAGCTAGAATTCCGTTTACTAATTTTATTGCTTAAGTTTGAGAAGTGAGCTTAGCCCATTAACTAGGCTTAAACTGTTCGTTTATTAGTTTTAGTGCCATGACAGACTAGTTAGAGCATGATTATCATCACAGCGATCTTTAGCCTTATCCCAAACTATTTGGTTAGCGATATTTGACTGGAGTCTCTTTGTATGGATGCCCATCTACAAACTAATGAAAGTATGGACAATAAACCTAAGTAAACTTAAGTTACTTAAGAGAAACTCATAGGAATAGCTGATTGGTGGTTCCGTAATGGTTTGATGTTAAATTATGTGCTTGGTGTGATAATAATGTAATTGATGAAATGAGTATGTCATGATTCTGTTACTATTGCATGAAAACAATTGGGCGAAACGGTATTGCTTGTGCATTGATTAATATTCTCTTAGAAGAGAGGTGATGCGCTTGAAATGTGTGTTTAAATAACAATTTAATTGACTATTTTTTACACTTTTTTTTTTCTTTTTATTACTTTTTTTTTTCTTCATGCAAGCTCTGTTATTTTAACTAATGAAATGTTTAATTGTTTTGGTGCTCGCTTGGTTTTTATTTTCTTAATTCATTTTGTAGGCATTCTGTCTTAATGATGTTCATTATTCATGTACACTTAAACTTGTTTTTAAAAATATTCTGCCTCATCCATTTTTAGATTCTTTATTATTTTAAACTTGGATTTTCATTTGCTTGGTTCGTTTTATGGTGCCGAATGTTGGCCATCAAAAAAAGAAGATGCTCAGGTGGATGAGTGGCTTTACCCTTAGAGATAGGATACGAAATGAGCTTATACGTGAAAAGGTTGGAGTAGCGCCAGTGGAAGATAAGAATAGAGAGAGACGCCTTAGATGGGTTGGTCACATAAAACGGCGGCCTTAGATGGAAAGTATTAGATTTGACTTCATAGTAAGAAAGGTAAAGGTAGACAACAAAAAACTTGGTTAGAAAATATTAGAAATGATCTTTCCTTATTAGATTTAAATGAGAATTTGACTTTTAACATGACACAATGGAGAAAAAGGATTCATTTAGCCGACCCACGTAGTGGGACAAAGGCTTGATGTTGTTGTTGTTGTAACTGATTTGAGCAATACAACCAAGAAAGGGTTAATACATTACTATTTTTAAGTAAATATGTTGGCTGCATTCTAGAACCCAAGCTGACGATTGTATTTTCATTGTGAGTTAACCGTTTAAGAAAACACTGTTTTTGCTGCAGATGTTCCATTTGATACCAACACCACAGGCTAGCTTCTATGTGCTGAATGATATTTTCAGGCTGAACTATGCCTGAGATCCCACTGTTTGAAGAACTTAAAGAACATAAATTCTCCTTATGCTTGTATGTTTCCCATCAATGTTTATGCGTATTTATTTATTTTGCACTCTTGATGCTATTTGTCTGCCTCTTCTGTCAAATTAATGGCAGGTTGCTCTGCATCTCTCAAAATTATGCTTGATTAAACTTTTGAAAATCTTTATCGGTCTTTTGCGTTACTTTTATTTGTACCACTACTATTGCAGGAGACAATCATGTAAGCTTTATGTCTGGTTTTCCATTTATAAAGAAGGATTTGTGTTTTTTTTTGGCTTTTATAGCGGATTTCTATATTTGGCCATGCAAGCGTCAGTTTTGAAGCTTAAGGATTTGTTTGGGATGACTTTTTTATTACTTAAAGTAGTTTTTTAGTATAAAATTAAAATTTTGGTACTAAAAAGATGCTTTAAGAAGCAATAAGAAAGCCGTCTCAAATGAAGCCTAAGTTTTTGTATGCTTTGGTAGGAATGTTGCCTAGTTTTGCTATGATATTTGTCGTCACGTACGTTATGGATAAGTTTGTAGCATGATAAGAAAAAATAGAGTATGGAAGACGCATAACTACAAGATTCAAATGAAAATAGATTTTTTCAAAGACATTTAGGCCAATTAAGGTAAATTCATACACATCATAATATATGCAGGATTTGAATTCAAAACCTCTTGGTTGATAGCTAAAGATTTCAATCAACAGATGAGCTGCGTTTCAAATGAAAATAGAAAACTATATTAAGGATTAGTTATCTTTTTAGGAAGTTGAAGCATCTTTCAGTTTTGGGAATTGGTCTTTTATATTTGCATGCATAAGATAATTCAAAGGTACTTTGATGTATACCTTTTTAGATGCTATAATTTTATTTGGTGAGATATCCACTACAATAGAATATTTGAGGACATGTTTTAAAGATCTTTGCTATTGAATTAATATAATAAAAACTTAAATATATGATATAAAATTTTAATAGGCTTATTATTAATAATTATCAGTTAATATTATTAGAATATGTAATGGTGCTTGTGTGCTCTATAGTTGAGTATCTTGGATTGTTATAGGTTAGATACTTAAAATGTAAAAAATGACTTGGGAGTTATGTGATAAGAAAATATTTTGTAGGCTTCAATTTTATAAAATTGTAATTTGGTCGATGTTGTATGGATTTGAATGCTAGTAGTTAAACAAGTATTTATATCCAAATCCAAATTGAGAGTCATATAAATAACAATGTTAAGATGAATGAATGATAAATTAGGAAGAATAAATTAAAAAAAAAATAACTATTTTAGAGGGGTTGTTGAAGGCTTCTATTAGAAATTTGTTAATTGAAAGTAGATTGAAGTGAGATGGACATGTGCAATAAAGGATAACAAATGCGCCTATTAGAGCATTTGATAACATGAGCTTCAAATGATTAGAAAAATTGATTGACCTTGGATTATATGGATGGTTGTTTAAAATGATTTGTAAAAAAAAATTAATATTTGAAATAGCACTAATTATGAATTTAAAAAATGAGGTTTTACAATGTAAATTTTAAATAGTTGGGATAAGATTAATATAATGTTTTATTAGGTTTTGTTCGTGATGATTTTCTGATTACTTTGTAAAATTATTATAGTTGATTTGGTCAACCAGGTCAAACCATGTGTTGTGGTTAAGTCCAAGTATATAATGATATTTTGTACCCAATGAGGGTAGTCTCATGCAACGTTAAGGTCTCCTTGCATGAAATGCGTGTTTGGGCCCTTTAGGGGCATTTTGGTTAGTCATAGTTGACTTGGTCAGCCATGTCAAATCAAGTCTTTGATTTAGATTTAATACACTCCAAATGATATTTAGAATGCATTGAGAGAGTTTTCAATGGCTGATTTGAATGAGCTATGTTGAAGTTTAAGGAAAAGATTGATTTTCTGTTAAAAATTTTGAGGTCTAGTGGGCCCATGGTCAACCATGGTGAACCAAGGCTCACCAAAGATTCAATTTTGTGCTTAGCATTTTTTTTTTAAATATCATTTTGAATGATAATAAGGGAAAGGTGGGATTATTGACCTTGGAATGCAATGTGTTTAACATGTCATAAGGATGATTATGAATATGTTCAAAGGTTTTGGAGAAGATCCAAAGGTTAAATTTCACAAGGTGCATGGTCCAGTGGCATGTAATATAAATATTTAAAAGATTTACAGCTTTTGTAAATAAGTTCAATTTTTTAGGTTAGAGGACTCGAATTGGCCTCAATTTTGGAGAGGGTGACTGTAGAGACATTCTTAATTAATATAAAAATGACAGATCATGAATCCGATGTCATTTGGATTAGTTTTGAGGTAATTGAAAAATCACCCAAAAAGGTTATGGGATAAGGGTATTTGGCCTTGACTTTGGGTTGAAAATTTTGAGTTTGGTTTCACATTTTGAATTAGATTGATTTAGTGTGATTTATTCATACTAATGACAATCATTTAGGTGATTGTTAATGGAAGAGTAGAAGAGATCAAGTGATAGCCAGTATGTGGCTACTACTTGAGGCAATTTTAGTTGAATTTGGATTTGAGTTTGAATTGAATTTGAGTTGAGCTTAAATTTGATTTTGATTTAGTCACCTTAAAGAAAAAAAAAAGAAAAAAAAAAGAGGTCAACATTCACATGATACACGCAAAGCTAAAGCAACAATGAAATAATGACAATGATAAACTCTAAATCTTATAAAGGTAAAATAATTTTTTTTGATATTTTATTAATTTGATGTTTAATTAATCAATAACAAATTGTGATACTAATATATATAAATCCTAATAAAACTTTAATTATAAATTATAATTTGAAATTTATAACATATTAATAAAATTTTGCATGTTTTTTGTGTAATGCGCCAGTATGCATGTATGGCGCAAATAGTGCATGTTTTGAGCCAAGTAAATAATATCGTATATATAATGATTCAATAGTTTTTAGTTCAATTGGGTGTTTATGTAAATTAATTTAATCTTGAGAAATAAGTTTTTTGAAGATTGCTTGAGTTGAGGAGGATTGGATTACAAGTTATACTTCCACCATTGAGGGCTCACCAAGGTTTAAGATTCTTACTTAAGGGCCCATAATAAGAATCTTGAAAGAATTTTGATAATTTTAGCTCCTATAGTCAAATAAATTGTACCATGGGTTATACATGATTTTAATTATCCCTAAAATAATTTAGAGTTAAATCTAAATTTAAGGTTTTAGGATTTTTGGGTTAACTACGAAAGCTTGTATGTTTCCCATCAATGTTTATGCGTATTTATTTATTTTGCACTCTTGATGCTATTTGTCTGCCTCTTCTGTCAAATTAATGGCAGGTTGCTCTGCATCTCTCAAAATTATGCTTGATTAAACTTTTGAAAATCTTTATCGGTCTTTTGCGTTACTTTTATTTGTACCACTACTATTGCAGGAGACAATCATGTAAGCTTTATGTCTGGTTTTCCATTTATAAAGAAGGATTTGTGTTTTTTTTTTTTTGGCTTTTATAGCTGATTTCTATATTTGGCCATGCAAGCGTCAGTTTTGAAGCTTAAGGATTTGTTTGGGATGACTTTTTTATTACTTAAAGTAGTTTTTTAGTATAAAATTAAAATTTTGGTACTAAAAAGATGCTTTAAGAAGCAATAAGAAAGCCGTCTCAAATGAAGCCTAAGTTTTTGTATGCTTTGGTAGGAATGTTGCCTAGTTTTGCTATGATATTTGTCGTCACGTACGTTATGGATAAGTTTGTAGCATGATAAGAAAAAATAGAGTATGGAAGACGCATAACTACAAGATTCAAATGAAAATAGATTTTTTCAAAGACATTTAGGCCAATTAAGGTAAACTCATACACATCATAATATATGCAGGATTCGAATTCAAAACCTCTTGGTTGATAGCTAAAGATTTCAATCAACAGATGTAGATGAGCTGCGTTTCGAATGAAAATAGAAAACTATATTAAGGATTAGTTATCTTTTTAGGAAGTTGAAGCATCTTTTAGTTTTGGGAATTGGTCTTTTATATTTGCATGCAGAAGATAATTCAAAGGTGCTTTGGTGAGATATCCACTACAATAGAATATTGGAGGAAATGTTTTAAAGATCTTTGCTATTGAATTAATAGAATAAAAACTTAAATATATGACATAAAATTTTAATAGGCTTATTTGGTTGATGTTGTATGGATTTGTATGTTAGTAGTTAAACAAGTATTTATATCCAAATCCAAATTGAGAGTCATATAACTAACAATTTTAAGATGAATGAATAATAAATTAGGAAGAATAAATTAAAAAAATAACTACTTAGAGGGGTTGTTGAAGGTTTTTATTAGAAATTTGTTAATTGAAAATAGACTGAAGTGAGATGGAAAAGTGCAATAAAGGATAACAAATGCGCCTATTATAGAAATTGATAACATGAGCTTCAAATGATTAGAAAAATTGATTGACCTTGGATTATATGGATGGTTGTTTAAAATGATTTGTAAAAATAATAATAATAATAATATTTGAAATAGCACTTATTATGAATTTAAAAAAAATGAGGATTTATAATGTGCATCTTAAATAGTTGGGATAAGATTAATATAATGTTTTATTAGGTTTTGTTCAGGATGATTTTCTTATTACTTTGTAAAATTATTGTAGTTGATTTGGTCAATCATGTCAAATAATGAGTTGTGGTTAAGTCCAACAAGTTCATAATGATATTTTGTACCCAATGGGGTAATCTCATGCAGTGGTAAGGTCTTCTTGCATGAAATGCATGTTTGGGCTCTTTAGGGGCATTTTGGTCAGTCATGTCAAATCAAGTCTTTGATTTAGATTTAATACACTCCAAATAATATTTAGAATGCATTAAGAGAGTTTTCAATGATTGATTTGAATGAGCTATGTTGAAGTTTAAGGAAAAGATTGATTTTCTGTTAAAAATTTTGAGGTTTAGTGGGCCCATGGTCAACCATGGTGAACCTAGGCTCGCCAAAGATTCAGTTTTGTGTTTAACATTTTTTTAAAAATATCATTTTGAATGATAATAAGAAGAAAGGTGGGATTTTTTGACGTTGGAATGCAATGTGTTTAACATGTCATAAAGATGATTATGAATATGTTCCAAAGGTTTTGGAGAAGATCTAAAGGTTAAATTTCACTAGGTGCATGGTCCAGTGGCATGTAATATAAATATTTAAAAGATTTGCAGCTGTTGTAAATCAATTCAATTTTTTAGGTTAGAGGAATCGGATTGGCCTCAATTTTGGAG